AGATAAACATTTTCTTAGCTCCCACGCTCCTCCGGCGAGCTAAGAAAATGTTTATCTCCCTGAGCTTGGCCTTCATAATTCCATTCCATCACACCTACCCCGTAAAAAAGGGAAGATGCATTGGAACCTGATCTGGGAGTGGGAGGGTATAACCACCTTATATGCTTTTCGTCAAGAGGTGTTTTGCAACCAGTCCTTGGGTGACTAGATAATTTTCTTTCAATGCCCACATCAAACATAACCACTGACTCAAGAAGATTGGGAAGCGTGCCTGAGAAACATGTAAGAGAGAGCAATCTATTTCCCTCCCAGATCTGACAGGAAAACCCAGGTTCTCTTGCGTGCCAGCCTTCACCTGTGTGTGTCCTCAAGTGCCTCTTGAGATCGAAAGTGTCGTTGAAGCCTTTGCTGCAATATTGGCACGTGCGCTTCTTGATGGAACTGTGGCACTTGCGATGGCGGTTCAGCATGCGCTGCAGCGGGAAGCGTTTGCTGCAAACACAGCACTGGAAGTCTGCCTGGGTCGGGAGACTTCTGCCCTGAAAGGGGAAGGAAGGAAGGAAGGTGGGGAGCACGTTATGCAGCCAACCAGGGTCCCTCCCCTAAGAGGCTTTACAGTCCAAACAAGGGTGATGGAAAACAGGTCTAGGCGATCAGGACTGGTTTGTGAGAGAGGTGGATTTTGAATGGAGAATCTGTGGCCTTCCAGGTCATTGATGGACTGTAGCTCCCATTATCCCTCACCATTGGCCAAAGTGGTTAGGATTCACAGGAGCTGAAGTTCAGCAATGTTTGGAAGACCTGCGTTGTTCCTTCCTAACGTAAAAAAGAGGTTCTGGGGGACAGCTCTGACAGTCAGGGAAAGGCCTGTCTTTAATGTGGGTATTAATGTGGGGCCAAGGAAGATGCTGAGCCGGGAGCATCACAGGTCCAAAGGTTATCTAAATCTTCCCAGCTGCAATCAGGCCTCTCTTCTGCCAGGAAATGTCTCGACAATTTTGCAACACACTGAGCTGCTCTTCCTCTCCCTAGCCAAAACTGTCAGGCACAATCTTCCTCCCTCCCTCCCCTCTCCTCCCCTTCCCAAATGCATATGGCCACCCATCTATCAAAGGAACTCTGGGCAGTAAACAAGGATAAAAAGATAATACAATTACCAAAATCAATTTTGAAAAGAAAAAAAGGCAAAGTCAAAGCCCCAATAAAAATCTCACACTCATAATTCATACACCCAACTCTCTTATTGGGCTTGTGCAAAGATTATAGGACAAAGAAAATCCAGGCAGTCTTTGAACACACTCATCTTTTATTTATGAAAATTGGTACGGACCTGAATCAAATTTTCCTGAGAGCGTTCATTCTGGATCGGCCTTATCTTGTTGCTGTGAGGATGCCTTCCCATGGCACGTGGTTGGACAAGGCTGGGAGGCTCTCCTCCGTCCCACCCACTCTTGCTGCTGATGCTGAGAATTCTGGGGTTGATTTCTAAACATCAAGGCAGTCAAAAGAGACACTATTTTTAGTGACTTTTGCAAGTACAGGACTCAGCCATCTCCATGAATGTGCTAGGAGAGGAGAGATGGGGACCTTACACCCAGATGAGTGAGATAAGCTGGTCTGTGCAGACCTCCCCCGTGCTCTGGCAGCCCTTCCCCAACTGGGGGCCCTCCAGATGAGTTAATCTATCATTTTAATTATCCTCAACCAACATGGCCATAATAGCCAGTGCCCAGAAAGACACCATTCAAGAAGTTCACCTACCTGGTACATACGAGTCCCCCCGGAGCTGGTCAGAGAGTTCGCTCCAGTTCCGTGTTCCTAGCTGTGCTGAGTTACGGCATTTTACCAGAAAAGACTTGGGCATGGCTGATAGGATGGCAGGTTTGGGATTCCCAGGGTGAACTTCCACATGGACCAACACGTTTGATTGTGACCAACAATGGAAGGTCCTTAAAGTAAACACTTCATGTCCAGGAAGAAGGGAACTTCTTCTGTGGCACTCATCCCAGATCCTAAACCTTGGTGTTCTACTATATAACTCTATTTCTTCTTGTGGAAGAGAACAAAACTTAGCAAATCTACAACTTGAACCTACTACCCAATATAATTCTGACCTATAATTTCAAACAATTTGAAAAGCCACCTTTATCAATATACCCTAAAATAAATTGAAAATGCAAACCACTGCTTCTTTCTTTCCAAACCACAGACCCCAATTCCTGCCTCTAAGCGCCACCCCAACTCCCAACAAAAGTAGGTAGAACTCCAGAAGTTACCACTTAAATTGTCTATCGTCCAGCAAAATCCAAAATCTCAGCACAATTCCAGTGAACAGGAATGATTCTGGGGATGGACTATTTAAACAGCAACACTAGATGCCCTGGCAATTTGCATCAAAATGAGCGGGTAAGGCTTTTCAATAAGAGACACCCCATCGCATCTCTTTTGCATGCTCTGTGCTTCTAACAGGGCTACAACTCCTCGCATTCATCCTATGCAAATTTTACAATTTAACTCTGGAGAGAAGAGCCGAGGTCAGTTATCAGTCTCTCTGGCAGGACAGCTGCAACCAGGACCGGAAACTCATCTTGTTTTCAACAGCGGCAACACAAAGAATCTGAACATGAGCAGACCAGCTGAACCTTCCACCACCAGCAAAAAGTCATCAAGCTGCTAAATAGAATGAAACAGATTATTATTTGACCCATTTTTATAGAAATGATCCTTGTGAGCTAACACACACTACATTTTCACTGGTTCTTGGTCTTTTGGTATAACACGAGGTGCTAGTTTTGGTCCTGAAAGTCCAAAATAACCTGTGTCTGATGTAGTTGATAGCCTGCCTTCACTGAGAGAAGGTATCTATCAGACATGGATCTTCAGAAGTCCTCCAGATGCTCTTGTTTGGGAGCTCCTGGAGTGGCACCCACTTTGTGGAACTTCCCTACTTGCTTTGCTCCTAGTAATGGTTGAATTGCTGAAGTTTTACCCTTGTAAACTGCCTTGTATCTCTTTCATGACAAATGGCATTGTTGATATGTTATGTATCAGCAGCATACTTATTTAGGCTAGCACATGCATGTTCCTTCTGGACCAGCTTCCCAGCTGTACGTATATATGATTTTAGGTGTTTCTTAAAATTAAGATGTGCTATTCTCAATTTATCAAGTGTCTGGCTTAATTTAATGTCTTCGTCTGGTAGTAATAGCCATTAAAGTTCTTGGGTTTCATTTTTCAAATACGGAAGCTATATTCCACAATTGATTATCCTTTTCACAGCACGCACAATCGCTTGTACTTGGTCCTCCGAAATCCTGCAGATTTCCACAGCAATAAACAAACTTAAATCAGAATCATTCTTATTCAGCCACCTATTTCACCTCCAGACAGAAAAGCTCTCACAGGGGTGGCCAGATGCAAGGGGGACCCTCTTCCTCAACAGTGATTCTCACCTGGGGCCGAGCCCAGCCACACTCTGTCTCTTCTACAGGGCTGGGAATAAAGGTTCACTTATGGCAAACACTGGGGGGGGTGGGGGGGGGTAGTGGGGGAATATTTGGGTTGCAAATA